ACTGTCTTTTTACACGCCGCGTAAACATAAAACTCTGTCTGCATTTGTGATCAGAGAAATGACAAACAACAAGTGCTACTACACTGCCCAAAACTCGCGTTTGAGTCATCAGTGGAAAATCCTTTAAATGAAAACGTACTTACGTGAGTCAGAACTGCCGGCATTTTAGTCTAACGTTACTCTCCCAGGATCAGGAAACAGTCCTCCATAAAATGCGCTGCACACATCTGGATATTTGGGTTGAAGTGTTCTGGAACAGTGTTGTAAATACAACGTAACCACTGATTTCTAGTCGTGTCCTCTTTTGGAAGACCAAACAAAGTAGTTTCGCTTTCACTACGAAAAACACAGCGGCCTAGCGTGAGGGGAAGCCCCGGCTTAGCGTGAGCTGAGGCCGGCCTAGAGTGAGCCGAGGCGGCGGGGTTGAGAACGGTGCGCCCGGAGGATGCGACCAATGAGCGGCAACCACATGTGACGACCCCGGGCTTGGATCGTCCTCTTTTGGAAGTCCAAACAAAGTAGTTTCGCTTTCACAACGAAGCACACAGCGTCTTCACGACATGGCGCCGGCGGCAACAATCTATGCGTTATGCAAATCTTCCCACATAGTGAGGTAGATATGTGGGGGCGTGTTAGAACGAGCTGTTTTAGGTAGGCGTGGCTGACTCTAAACTTTTATAAAGAATATCTCTTTGGATTTGAGACTTTAGTCTTTGCATCTTTACAGATCTTCTTTATGCACCAAGAGCTTGTAACACTCCAAAGAGAAAGGAAAAATTGAAATCGCATCATATGACCCCTTTAACTCTCAAAATGAAGCTCCATCTTCTCACCTGAGCAAGGTTCATGAATATTCAGTAGAACGCGCCCCCATTGGTCGATTATCTGCTGACGTCGGCATGGAGGCGGGAACAACGCGGAACGTGTATTCAGTATTCATAAGCAGCCCTGCCGGGGTTTTTATCGTTTGCGCTCGCTGCAGTAGCAGAAACGCAGTGAGGAGAAACAGACGAGCTTTATTACAGTAAAACCTTGCAGACGAAAAGAAGAGAGACGTTTAGTGTTTTCCACAGTTTTCTCAGGTTATGGTTTCATTATTAGCTGTCTAATGGATCTAGTGCCGTTTTTTCACCCGGAATCTTTTTCCTTGCCTTCTGACCAGAACAAGTAAGTAACTTATAAATGTATTAACTTCATTTGGGGCATAATTAGGCTTTTATATGTACTATCGTATTATACTTCATTTGTGTTACTGGAACTTTGCTATCTATTTTTATCTATACAAAATATTAGCCTATAGTTTCCCCTTTATATATAGGATATACAAGAACATATAGCAAACAAATTGGCTATAATGGTCTTGGACTGATTAAAGAAGATCTCATATTCGTTTATATTATGTAGTAACAATTATTTTGGTGGAAACTATGCTTACTATGATTGAGGGGGACATGTGACTTACATGAGTAACTTATACATGACATGTATTTGATTTATTCTATTGATTTATAATAAGAGAACGATATGCATGTTGGAATGTGATCGAGAGTAAAACCTTATGTGATCATGAAAGACATACATAGTCACGAAAGACCAATTTTAAGAAGAAATGTATTTATTTATTTGATCCCCAGATAGATACTCAGTTCAAGATTGATCAGTTATATAATTTGACTATAAAAGATGAAATAGTAGATGGAATAAACATGTTGTTCCATTAATAAGCAACTTATTAATATATTAATAATACATATTTTAGATGCACATTCCACTTGCAAACTGTCCATCATCAGACTAAGATCTTAGTAGCATTGATATACTGTTACTGATTTTGTTCATATTTTGAATTACATGAGATATTTTCTGTTTTTATTTTTGCTTAAAGTTTTAGAAAATTTCTTGTAATTTTTATTAGTGTCATTTAGCATTTATATTACGTTTTAGTTATTTTAGTGCCTCAACTTAAACTAAACAGAAACAATGCTGCCTTGGCATCACGCTGAAATAAAATTAAAAGTAAAGTTAGTTTGAGTTCTTTTATATTTTGTTTCATTTCAATAAATGTTTTTTTATGGCTTTAGTTTTAGTGAAAGATGATAACCCTGGTCTTAGGGCTGGACAAAAAATTCAATATCAATATATATCGCGATATATTTTTTTTTCAATTACGGTGATATGATTTTTAAACACATTTCCGATATTTCGATATACATTACCGGTGTTTCTCAGTCATACATTGATTTTTTTATGGCGGTTGACTTCCTTGAATAAACATGAGCACTGCACGTTTCAAAATCAAAATGTGGCGCAGTGTTTTATATGAATGTATCTTTGATGGGAAAGTTGTGGCCTAATGGTTAGAGAGTTGGACTCGTAACCCAAAAGTTGAGTCTCGTACCGGCAGGGATTGTAGGTGGGGGGAGTGAATGTACAGTGCTCTCTCCCACCTTCAATACCACGACTGAGGTGCCCTTGAGCAAAGCACCGAACCCCCAACTGCTCCCCGGGCGCCGCAGCAAAAAATGGCTTCCCGCTGCCCCAGGTGTGTGTTCATGGTCTGTGTGTTCACTGCTGTGTGTGTGCACTTAGGATGGGTTAAATGCAGAGCACTAATTCCTAGTATGGGTCACCATACTTGGCCTCACGTCACGTAAACTTTTGAAGGGAACCGACTGTCTTCAGAAAAGTTTCGATGGCATTTTCATCTGATAAAGCAGCGTTCATGAGCGGAGCCGGAGCCAGCCGTTACCGGGGAAACCGCTGTTACTGCCGCTCTAAAGCGCCTCCTGCTGGCAGAGAATGAGCTCGTCTCCAGTAACATGTTTCTGTTGCTGCTCACTCTGTTTCTGTTTTCTGCAGCAACTCTGAGCATTTTTCATATTCTTTATCCTGGCTGAAGCACTTTTGTTTCAATCTATAAGAATAATCAGCCTACGTTATAGTTTAAAGTTAAAGATATTAATATTATTAAGGTGAGCCTGAGAGTCATATTTATTTGACAGGGATTTCACATTTCTTGTTTGTATGAAGGCTAAATACAAGTAAAAGGTGAACAGTACAATTTTTAATGTTTTTAAGGAAGCCTGCATTTATTTGATCCAAAATACAGCAAAAGCAGTAATATTGTTAAAT